TTGTTTAATTGCGACGCAAAGTAATCCCGTTTCTGATAAAGAGAGTTATTAACGTCAGTAAAAGACGTGCGGCATTAAAGTAAGGATTAAAACTGAGGCGTGTGGAGCGGCTGTGTAACATATTGTAACCTACATCTGCCTTCAAAGCCACACAGAGTTGATAAATTGCTGATGAGTCGTACAGGGCAGGCTGTTATATGTCCATTGCACATTGTTAAATGACGATTTGAGGTAGCCTTTATTTTTATGTTGTATCTCGATTTTAGAGGGGGCTACAGGAATCTGAAGGATCTAATCTGAAGGATTTGTTGTGACGACGGAAAGACATGAATGTGAAAAATCTGTTTAGTTGAAAAAAAAAACCTATTGGTTGAAAAGTAAATTAAGTTATAATAAAAAATTAGAAGGGCAGAGTGCAGTTATTCAGGCTCCCTCCAGTGTATGTTAAAAGAGAGGAGGCGATGCATTTCTGTATTGTAATCACTCACCCGAGGCATGTTTCAGTTATTGACAGATTTGATGTTAAATGTCTCAAGCTCACTTAGTGTTGTAGCTCTTCATTTATTATGTCTTGCTCTCTCTCTCTCTCTCTCTCTCTCTCTCTCTCTCTCTTTCTCTCTCTCTCTCTCTCTCCCTAGTTTGACCCTTCGAGGTCACACAAGCAATTCTTTTTTTAAACGCATGATTAATTTCTTGGAAGGTTGACCGGCTGATGTATTATAAAAAGTGAAATGTAGCCCATTGCAAAGGGGCTAATAGTGTTATTTACTCCAATAAGTCTTTTGCTGTTTCACATAATTGAGACATGTTGTGCTTTTGATAACATGTAAGGGCATCTTTGACGGAGAAAGAAAAAGTTTGGAATATGGTCTGTCAAAAAATCGGCCTTTTTCATAATTGCTCTTAAAAAAAACAGATAAAGTTCGGTGATTACGAATAATAAGAAGTCGATGCGACCTAAATCAGTTGATTAGGGTTTTACCAGTGTATTATTTTAGACCATTTGTCAATGCTCGTTAAGCAATCAAAGATTCATAACACAGAGACTATGTGAAACTTTTTTTAAACTAATGAACTAAATCATTACACAAATCTAAAGCAATATCCTAAACGTGCAAAAAATGATATAAACTCGAAAATGAAGCCTTAATACAGCTAATAAGAAGACACCTTTTTCGCAGGAAATATATTATGCATTCAAAACTAAACCTGGCCATTGTGTCATTTTCTCATGTCAATGTTCCATGGCGGCGTCAGCGGTTAAATACCTGCGGCCCGTGCGTATCTCTCTTACTCCCCCACCAACCCCCACCCCCAATTGCAAACCAAATTGGTTTGAAAAGGAGCAGATGGGGCTCATTCTCTCTGTGTCTCTAACGCGAATGCATGAGCTGCACGAGCTCACGCACAGATTTAAGACTGAGTCAAAAAGTGACCCTGTCATATTAAACAAGATGCAATTAGGAAACATACATGAAAATAGATTATATTATCTGCATTACAGTCTTGTAACCAGATTGGAAATTGCTCCAAAATATGCATTTATGATTTAAAAAGCAAGGACGGATGGCTGAAATTCAAGTATAAATTATAGCAATGTCTATCACCTCTTTAAGTGTAACCAAATTCTCTCAGAAGAAGAAAAAAAAAGCCAATCCGGGAACACTGCAGCTTTTATTTTCACTTTTTTTTAAAGGAAAAGAAAAAGAAAACCCCTACATGCCTCAAAGACTGCCTGACTGGAATAAACATAATTTAGCTACACTGATTCTAATTTACAATACTCATCAAAGTCCACAAAATAACATGTTTGATCATTTGCAATTATTTAATCTATTTTGTCCTGAACAAAACCTTCATTTTTTTCATTGTTTTAATGATAACCGATATTGGATACCATGTGCATCCCCTGATGAGTTATTTACCATCCTCAAGACGTTTGCTGATGCTTGTGGAACTGCTAATATCTGGGTTATAGACTTCATATTTAGGTCTGTACCTTCATATCTGTAATTCGCTTGTATATTTAAGTGCCAAAAGTAAATGAGCAACAGAAGTACCATGTCTGTCTTAAGAGATTTGCCAAGGTGTTTAGCTAGAAATCCGTGGTACAATTTTGTTTAAAAGAAGCAGATTTTATGCTGCAAGTTTTGAAGGCCCTCTTCAGTTGAATGATCGCTGTATTATAAACTATTTGATTATAAATGTTAGCTTTACTGACCCTCACTTAACCTAGGCTACATATCACGTACTGATGATAGGTAACATATCCCTATTGCAGATCCACGATTAGGAACAACTAACAAAAAAAAAAAAAAAAAACCTGTCTTGGATGTGGGAATCAGCTGTACAGAAACTGGTGCTCCCCTTCTTTGCTTATTTCAGTGTTCCCTAAACTATCAAATACCAAACAGCCTATTTCCGATCATTTACCTCATTCCCACTTCACCTCGCACGCACCCCCAAGTAGGCTACGTGAAGCCCACCAATAGACGTCGATGTGATGACGACAGCTTTACTTGTATGACTTGTTGTAGCTGTCTCCAATGCAAAGTTTATTTAAAACAAACACATTTCATTAGAGCACACATAGGACCAAAGTGATAAACTAGCAAAATCGATGCTTTGAGTTTGTTTAGTCGTCATTTGTTGTTGCAGACTAAGAGTGCGATGCTCTGACACTTCAGGAGAGACAATTCCTGCACGCGCGTCTGCTGCAAGCCGGTAGCCCAATCAACGCTCGTGCATAGTTTGACTTTGTCAATTTGCGTGCAGATGGACTGAGAGAATACTGAGAGTGGAGCAGAGCAGAAGAGCGTGTTGGCTTGTGTATCATTGTGTATTTCATGACTGGTGGGCTGAGCTCGCGCTACACGCCAGTCAAGCCGAAAAGCGCGTGGTGGGAGGGAGAGGAGGGGGGGGGGGGGGATTAAGACGGCGCGTGCTGTCTCTGAAAGGCGAATAAAACCGGCACGAGCGTCGCAGTTTACTCACATCTCACAAGCAGCTCAGTCGACAGTTGGAGGGAAAGTCTCGGTGCCAGTCGCATGTGATTCAGTGAAGTTGTCTTGTTTTGGCTTTGTCATGTATGACAAAAATGAGTTTTGAAAAGCTCTGTAGAACAAGTCCATTTTTCGCGTAGGGGGATATTTTTTTTTTTTTTTTGACGCTGTTACAGTTTGGGGATTGCTCTCGGGAGTTCAAGGTAAGGGGCTATCTGACCATATTTAATGTAAGGATAGTAAAATGTAGTAAAGTGATGTTTGTTAACTTAAAAGGTGGTGCATACATGAATCTAGAATTGCTGAAGTCTAATTAAGTTACTGTTGTTGTTGTTGTTTTAGTTGTTGTTGTTGTTGTTGTAGTAGGCTAGAAGTAGTGTCACATTTCTGTTGCTTTACAGACACACTTACACCGATTTTTCTCCCTTTAATATTATTCTGTGGATAAGTTGAACAGAAGACAAACGCGTCATTTTGCAAGGCCAAAATTGTAAATCTTTGGCTTTAAATTTTAAATTCCATTAGTTTTTTATTATTTCAGTCAGGCCCATTTAAACTCCTTAGTTAAACTTTAGTTGCCTATTTGCAGTTGTTCCCGCGTATTCATTGTTATTAGTCCGTAACTACCTTATAATTAATTATTCCGATTCAAAACGCTTTGTTCTGAACAATATTCAGAAAATTAAAGTATCTTTTCATCAATGCAATTACTAAATAATTGGTTTAAAAACAATCAGAAGCTAATGCTCAGTTTCGGAAATGATTGAAACACTGAAATAGGCAATTCCATGTTTTTAAAAGTTCTGTTTTTGTGTAGGCTATTGTAAGATGAAATGGGATTCATGAAATATGCCTATTACTTCCAGAAATTGTCATCTACCTAATAAAGTCTATTTGCAAGTAATAAATAAGACTATTTACGGTACTAAAATGAATGCGCTTTGTATTGCAAATCAATATATTGCCCACAAGTGCCATTTGCCATTTCCAATTCCAGCAACAAAAATATATATGTATTAAATATATATATTTATATGTGTGTGTGTGTGTGTGTGTGTGTGTGTGTGCCTAAATGAAATGACACTATGAATCGTTGAAGGTTTTGGAAGAAAGTGTGGCTCTGAATTGTACCAAAACCTCGAAGTAAGCCAACTCCCTTTGGGAAATGTGACTAACAAACTGCAGTCAGTTGTTGCACTAACACTGCTTTAAAACGTTGCCTGTACTGAATGTTTTTCCTTTTATCTCGTAGTCATGGAGAAACTTACACACTTTTTAAGATTTACGTTTTTATGTCAATGCATTGTATTTGAAACATTAATTTGTACATAAACGTTTCAGGAAGAATTTAACTAAAATTGTACTGCTAGTGCTTATATTTTAGAAAGTATGTTTCCATTTGCTTTCTTACTTTATTTACCGGGCAACTTCATTTACTACGTGCAGACAAACACTCCCATTACTTTTGAGCTATAAATGGAAAGACAAATACATAAAACAAAGGCTTTCATTTTGGGAAAACTGATTAATTGACCTATGTTCCTTATTTAATATTTTAATGAAAAATTCATGATTAAAAAAAACAGTTGTATTTGTTATTGTTGTCTTAATAGAGCAATGACAATTTGGAATCTTAAATTCGTTTTTCCTCCTTAATAATATTCAAAAAGGATGACAGAAACTGCATGTTGCTGTCATCCTTGAAATATTGAATTTGAATTTACAATGTAGTAATTTTCTCAAAAGGAAAAATGTGGACATTTTGGTTTTTATAAAGTTGAAATGAAATGCATTTTATTTAAATGATATTTCATTTCATTATGGACTTTGTTCTTTTTTACTTTCTAAATTCCAATCATCAATAAAGTATTATCAGCCAAACAATTCTGATGTTTTTAGGACAGAGGGATTGGGGTGTGTGTGAAACAAGTCAACACATGTAAATCTTTTTTTCTTTGATTTCATGCAGGACATTCTTCAAACGGGTTTCCTCCAAGCATGGACAAAACCCATCTGTCAAATCCTAATGACATCATAATGACAAGCTCAACTGGCCCCTACCGGCAGGAACCCCTGACTCCTCCTAGACCCACCCATCTCCACTCAACATCCTCTTCATCAACCTCTCCATCCTCCTCCTCCTCACCTCTCAAGCCAAACCAGGTTGGCCAGGTCATCCTGTATGGTGTTCCAATCGTTTCGCTGGTCATTGACAACAACGAGAGACTTTGCCTGGCACAAATATCCAACACACTTCTTAAGAACTACAGTTATAATGAGATTCATAATCGTCGGGTGGCGCTGGGCATCACATGTGTCCAGTGCACTCCAGTTCAGTTGGAGATTCTTCGTCGGGCTGGTGCTATGCCGATCTCATCACGGCGCTGTGGTATGATCACCAAGCGTGAAGCTGAGCGCCTCTGCAAGTCCTTCCTGGGAGAGAATGCACCGCCCAAACTGCCTGACAACTTTGCCTTTGACGTGTCCCATGAGTGTGCCTGGGGTTGCCGTGGCAACTTCATCCCAGCACGCTACAACAGCTCAAGGGCTAAATGCATCAAGTGCTCTTTCTGCAACATGTACTTTTCCCCAAATAAGTTCATTTTCCATTCCCACCGCACACCAGATGCCAAGTACACCCAGCCTGACGCTGCTAACTTTAACTCATGGCGACGACACCTCAAGCTCAGTGACAAACACCCACCTGATGAATTAATTTACGCATGGGAAGATGTGAAAGCTATGTTCAATGGAGGCAGCCGAAAGAGAGCACTACCATCTTCAGCCCACTGTTCCTCCATGGGTTCTATGAAGACTCTTCCAGGTTCAGTGGTGCCTCACATGCTTGGAGCTGACTTGGGTGCTCAGAAAAGAGGCCGCTATGAAGAGGAGGACGATCTGGATGGAGACAGTCTTTCCCCTCGCAAAACACCACGCAGTTACCCCGTCATCCCTGTCCCAAGCAAAAGCTTTGGCATGTTGCAGAAGTTCCCTCCCACGTCTCTCTTCCCTTCGCCTTACTCCTTCCCAGCATTTGGCCTCTGTCAGCAGAAAAAAGATGACAGTGATGTTACAGGTGGGCAGAAAGGAGCAGGGTTATCAGGTCTTTTGTGGCCTGGCCGCAAAGACACATTTTATCCTCCTCTCTGCATGTTTTGGCCACCACGAGCGGCAGGAGGAATCCCTGTTCCCACCTACCTCCAGCCTCAGCCCAGTGCCCTGTCCTCCTTGGCAGACAGCTCCTCTCTCAGGCAGGCCTTTTTGGATCTTTCAGACCCAAGCCAGCCTGGAACTGGCAACAGTGGAAACAGTGTTGGCACAACCATGGCTCCCAACAGGGAGACTACAACACCCAGATCTGGGTTGTTTGACCAGGATTGTACAGCAGTTATCTCTGACCTTCGCCCTGTGGGTTCAGAAGGCTGGCTCAAACTCCTGGACACCCCAAACCTCCAATCCCGGAAGTCTAGCTACAGCTCAGCCTTCCGTCCTGTCATTAAGGATGCTGAGAGCATCGCCAAGCTCCATAGCAATGCTGGAGGAGTCGCTGGGATAACAGACGAAGAATTTGGGGTTGTGGTTACCAGTACAGATCGCCACCAACAACTGTCACCCAGCAGCAGCTGTAGTTACGGAAGTGAAAGTGGAGTTGATGGAGGGGAAGAGGGAGTGGAGAGTGAGGAGGAGGGGGAGGTTGATGTGGAGTCATCAAAGCAGGATGAAGAAGATGAGGACGGGAGTTGCACAAACAGGCCTCCACAAACTAAAATAAATCTGTACCTCCCTGTAGTAAGCAACAATCCTGGTGCGGAAAGGGGGAAGGAGAGGGGAAGTGGCGCTGTGTATCCCAGCAACTCCCCTTCCTCCTCCTTGGACCCCATCCAGCAAGAGTCCCTTAGCCCGCCTGCTTCCCCTCCTGCTGGCCTGCCTCTCTCCAGCTCCACCCCTCCTAACAGAGAGGACCCGTCTTACAAAAACGTAAATATCCCCCCAAGCCACATAAGCTAATTATTATTTAAATGTTGCTGCATTCAGGCATGTGATGTGATCTGCATTAGCAGATTGATAGGATGGTATCTCCCTGTTGAAATTGAAATACTCACCCCACTCTGATAATAAGCCCAGTTGAATGTTTAAAAGCCATGGTGGGTTTGTTCTGTGTCTGTCACCCCAGCCTGTAATGGCAACTGTAATCTTTGAACTATCAACTTCCACATTAAACAGCCATCAGAGACAGAAGTAGAGGAGGAGGGTTTTAAAAAGAACTAGTTAAATCATCCATTAAATGTCAACTGCATTTAGTTGCTTTCAGACACAGACAGAGATGAAGATCTTTACCACAGACTCCAAATTTCAATGTTACAAATGAGAATCCTACTTTTGGCTGAGGGAAAACCAGATCAGGCAGTGAATTAAATTAGCAAAAAAAAAAAGAACTATATTTTGTATTAGTCTGTATTTAATCAAAACTAATGAAAAATTTTAAAAAATAAACGTATGAATTAAATTCTAACCAAGTTTATGTTGTCCACAGGTTCCCAAAAATAGAGATGAAGGACTTCCTGTGTACGCAGCCAAAGACAACTCAAGCCTTTCTGGTAAGCGATTATAAGTGTTTGCATGGTTAGCTTGAGATGATACATTATCTTTAAACCTGCAAGGTTTTTTCAAGGACTTTATTACATCAAATATTTGAACATGCTTTTACACAGTTTCAATAAACAGCACTAGACAGTTTATTCCATCAACCTGTTACACATTATCTGTTATATGAAATTTCTGAGTCACTTGTATTATAGCACTTTGTTTCATTATGTGTCTCATTGACTGGTTTTATAGCTTCTATGTGTTTCTGCAAGACTTGAATTCCTGTGATGTGTCATTTGCTCCTCTCATCTCACACTCTGACCCTTTCATTGAGGAATATTACTTGTGTGAGTTTTGTGGTACTGTGCTTATGAGCACATAAAGGCAGACCCCATGCACACACCTAGTTACCTCCATGTGTCTGGATAACCAGCTCAACCAATGGGCCTTACTGAAACTCTTCCTGTCTTACCTTCTTGTTTGTCTGACTTGTCTTTCCTCAGATGAAAACAAGGAGCAGAATAGTTTCTTTGTACAAGAGAGTGATACATTGGCACCGGACTATTGGAGAGAAACAGCAGGTATAAAATACTTACCTATGGTTTTTCTTTTGGAGAACAACAACATCATCAATTAGAAGTTTAAATTTAAACATTGAATTAAATAGAAAAAGCAAATACTATCTGCAAATGATGCTATTGATTATAAGTAGAAGTTAGCTAATTAGAACTGCAATCTAAGATGTATACATTTAATTCATTTTTTGTTTGATTTTAAAACTATAATAATTGTGTGAAGGTTAATGAAAACTGAACATGTTTTATATAATCTGTTTTATATAAACTTATGCTGTTGCAATTCAGCACACATAGTGTAGTTGGACGTTCAGTTTTTTTTTTTTAAGAAAAAGTCCAAAAATGAAACAAACAATACTTACTAAAAAAACACAGAGATATTACTGTATTTCACATAGATGTTAACTTCTTTGCACAAATTAGACTCAAAACACTTAAAGCAGTGAGGGAAAACTCTTCAGTCTCCTTCACCTCAATCTCCTCCCCCTTTCAAACAGTGAGGTAAGGGATTCATAAACACAAAGAGACATGAAACAGCAGAGGGAAGCTGCTGCTACCACAACTCTGGCTCAGCTGCGACATTGTTGCCAAGGCTGTTACTCTTAGGGGGGCTGTTATAGTTCAACAAGAAAACATCAGCTCAGAGATAAGCAGCCATGCTGGCAATCTCAATCCTAGACCCATATCGCCGCCGACATAATTGCCTTTTTTTTCTTCCTCAGAGCAAAAAAGCCTTTACCGTTTGAAAAAGATCACAGCTTATTGCCTTTTTATATCTGTCAGGAAGACATTAAAAGTGCTTTATGACATCTGTGCCAACATTTATATCAACCCCCCTCTCCCTCAACCCCTACACACACGCACCATAATGATCCCTGCACATAATGTATAATGTATTTCGAAAAATTACACGAAACAAATTAAATGAGACCACCTTACCCCTGATTGCCAAACGTCTCCCTGGGCGGTGGGAAGCTCTACGTGATTAGAAGGCCTGATTCCTCTGAGGCCCACCAGCCCCCCTCCACTGTCTTTAAACTTTCCCTCTGTTTCTAGGGAGAAAAAATAATCTAATTTTCCATTTATGTAATGCAAACCGCCTTGGCTTTGACTATTCACGGTTAATTGACTGTCAAACGAGGTTGTTATCCTCAGGCACTGTCTGCAAATTTGCTTGTCAAATGAGACATAGAGAGGAAAGGAACAGAGAGAGGAGAGGGGGAAAGATGAGAAGACAGGAGTAGAGACCTATCTGCTCTAAATGAGAGAGAGAAGCTTATAAGGATACTTATGGGAGCCAGGATATGAAATGCCTGAGAGAGGATACACATCAAGTTTAGTGGATCATTCATTTAAGGTGTATAAAGCCTCGTTGTCAAAACACAAACAATTGTGCTCAGATTCAGACAAAATAACAATGAAGACAGGTAACTCTGTAAACATAATTTGATAAAGATGTTTCAAAAAAACAAACAAATGGAAGATTGTAAATTTAAAAGCAACAAGTAAGTCCCGTTCAGTACTTACACAGACAGAGAAGACATAGTATGAAATGCAGTGTATATCTATTAGGCTACTGCCCTCACACAATTTCAAAGCCAGCGGTACTCTTCAAAATAGAAAAGCTTTTCTGACATTATAACCCAACAGTTTGTGAGCACAGTTACCAACAAGCATGTCATTTATTGCATAATTGGTTTCCTAAAACACAATCTTTTGGTACAGGCCTTCACTTTAGTTTTAAAGATAGAAAACGTCTCTCTTTTTAACTCAAATTTCAGAGTGCATATAGTATTTATTTGCTTTGCTTTTTTCATTTTGATTTAAAGTTACATGAAATGACATCAAACAAGACTTAACACATTAGAGAGGTGGCACAGTAAAGGTCTCCATCCAAAAATCTATCAAATTGTTACTGCAAACATACACTGACACCTATAGGCCAAATGGTGAATAACAGTACTCAGTGGTGATAAAAAAAGGCTTTAACTTTCAATGTGCAAGAGCATGCAATAAAAATAAACTCCTTAGAGACCAGTCAATGACACGGACATCATTCTCAGATGTGTGTGGCATATGGAATATGATGTCTGAGGCTGGGGAAGAATAGAATTAAACATTAACTTTTCTTAGTACAAAATGTTACTGATGTGTTATATGTCTAACATCAAGTGCATATCTGTCTGTTTTTTTAAGGGGATAGAAACCAAGGTGCTTCCCCCCCTGTTCAACTAAAGAAGGATTTTGAAAGCATGGAGAAAGGTAAAAAATAATTTCACAGCTTGATCAACCGTTACAGATATAAATTGGCCAGACTTGAGGAATCAAAGTAAACACAAACAGGGTGCAAAATACATTTTCAGTTTAGACTTTTTACAGACAAATTATTTTCATCTGCCTTTCTCATCGTCCTTTCTACTCCTTTAGAGGAGCTTCAGAAGGTTCTGCTGGAGCAGATCGACTTCAGGAGGAGACTTGAGCAAGAGTTTCAGGCTCTGAAGGGCACATCTCCATTTCCTGTCTTCCGTGAGTAACTATTTCCTCAACTCAACCACCCTTTTGTATTATGAAGCAAAACTTTTCCTTCTCTGTCTTTTTCTCAGATTTTTCTTTTTCAGGACCTGTAGCTTTCTTTTTTCTCCTCTCTCTCTCTTATCTTTCTCTTCCCCCTGATTTCCTTAGTCCCCTTTATCCTTTTTTACCTGTCTTTTATAGCTGTACTTGATCACAGATAATCTGCTTAGGCTAAGAATACATTTTGCATTATTTCAGATAATTTCCAAGATCAGATGAAACGAGAGCTTGCCTACAGAGAAGAGATGGTCCAACAATTACAGATGGTAAGATCACTAATAAGAACTAATACATCACTGCTGAACATTGATGGACAATTATTAAGCTTCCCTGCCTTCAAATGACAAAAGAACATACACATACAGATATTATTATTGGTTGTGGTGATAAGAGGACATGTCATTTCGACTTGGGCACTGTTCAGTCAATAGTCACAAATCTTAAACATTAAGGGGGGGGGGGGTATATGACAATAACAGTCAGATTTACTCAAACAACTGAAAGACTTTAAACAATAAAATCTTAAGCCACATCCTAAAAATAAAACATAAATTCAGATTAAATATTCAATAGATTTCAATTAGCCACTTTGTTGTTGCTTATATTGTAGGTCCATTAAAAGCAGTCAGAGACAGAGTTTGTCTTTCAAGGGTGAGCAGTTCCTCTGCCGCTGTCTGCCAGTTTCTGTCAATATCAATCAGCAGAGCAGCTGGCAGAAGATGTTTGTCTTTTTGCTTTCTGACACATGTAATAATTGTACACTTTTCTGTGCTCAGTGCACCCAATACACTCAACTCATTCTGCATTCATTTAGCCACAAAGGCTGATGAATGAATAGGCACTTAAGCTTGTTTTTAACTATTCAAGTACAGAATAAGTGTAGGTACCTATATAAAAATTGAAAGGAGAAAAATGTGCCTAGATCCAACAGATGGATATGTTTAGAGTAATAACATTTATTTCAAAAACACTTTAAACTTAATGTGAACTTAATTACAGATTTATAGACTAACGTACTTTTTAACATCAAAAGTATAACTGTAAAATTCTCTTAATATTTATAGTTATTTTTTTCTCCTTATAAAAAATCAAGTATTTTTTTGACGTTTATTATTAGTGGAATAACTCTTTAAATTCTCACATACTCATTTTTTGAAATTCAGAGTGAGGAGTCATTTTGCAAATAATGTTTGTATCAAGGCAGATGTTTCACACCCCAAAACCAGACAAAGTGTTGGAAATAAGTGTTAAATCTTCATAGTAAAGTTTTTTACTATCCTTTACTGTATTGAACTATAAAGTATTAAAAAAAACTTTAATCTATAAATGTCTGGATCTTGTCTTTGATTTTTCTATCTATGTCTTTCAGATACCCTACGCAAACATAATCAGAAAAGAAAAGATCAGCTCCCATCTCAACAAGTAAATAAAGGTGACTGTTAATAAGAATTTTAAATAATGCAAATTTTCAAAAGGACATTTTTAAAGCTGAACCACACAAGTTTCATGAAACTGTAATTAAGACTAGTTTTCTGTGACTCTGTGTAAGCATTTTCTGTGTACACATTTTGTTAAGTACATGTTTTCTGATGTGATTTCATACGATTGTACTTGTATAACTGGAGTGTCAATAAACATTTTGACTATTAAATCTCAGTAGTCAATTATAAAACTCAGTGACTTATAGTATTAACCTCCTTAAAATGTATTTATAGGCTACTTATCTTGTAAACTACAACACCCCAATAGCTGAAGTGTAAATCATGTTTGGTCATAAGAAACAGTCTCTGGACTCATTGAAACAGCGCAGAATAATAATGATGTATCCGTCTTTAAAAAAACTTTTATGCCAATGATTTAAGTGGGGAAAAAAACATAGCAACAATAAGGTTGAGGTTTTCGCCAGTTAAAAGGAAGTTTTTCCTTGCCACTGTTACTTTTTTAAATGTTTCCAAGTGCTGTGCTCATGGTGGATTAATGTTGGGTCTATCACTTCAATCATCACTTGTCACTTTATCTTGCCATTCACTGCACATAATGTCTAATTGCCCTCTTAGCCGTATTGTACTTTTCTATACTTGTACTTTTACCGATTTTTATTTATATTTGTCTTATCTATTCTGTTTACATTTTTTATTTTGCATGAGCTTCTTCTACTGTCTTTGTGCTATTGCAACGCCCCAATTTCCCCTCTTGGGATCAATAAAGTATTATCCTATCCTATCCTATCTTATCTTTGTAAATAATGTAACAGAGAGTAAGGTCTAACCTGTTCTTTTTGTAAAGTCTCTTGAGATACATTGGCTATGAATTGGCACTATACAAATAAACAATGAACTGAATTGAATTGAATAAAATATTTAATCTTTTCTTTTCTTTTCTTCACAGGCCGTAGAGTCAGTAGAGTCCCATGTAAAAGACAACACTGCCTGGATTTCCATGAATGACTGAAGAATACAAAAAAACTCATGGAAACTGATGAAACAATACTGACATAATCAGACAGGCATCTGGCACTATACAGTAATGATCTAAATTTCTTAACTTACCCAACCTCTGTTAAAAGCCCTACATTTAAACTCTGTGTGATGAGGAAACATTTGGACTACAATGACAGAAATTTTATACTTGTTTCCATTTTCCCTAAACTGGAGACACATATTGACTCCAACTCTTTCTTCATTGCTGTGCTGGCTGTCCGACTTCAAACTTAACCAAAATAGGAACAAAGAAAGCAAACACAACTGTTTTTGTGTGAATATCAGAGCTGTAAGCTACCGCCAGGAAGCAGTTGTAGACTTTGTCACAAAACTCTGAACTTTGCAAACTCCTTAAAGGTGAGAAACAACAAGAGATTCATAAATAACTTAAAAGCTGTGTTATTAGCCAAGACTCTGGCCACTGCTGAACAAAATGTACATACGCCAAACTAATGAACTTCACATGATAATTGTTGCTCTTGTTATCATTGTTGTTACCAAGGCATCACCGAACTGGACCCTAAAAAGAAACAAAACATTTGTTAACAGGCATCAGTTGATCCCAAAGGGATTCTCCTCTATTATGTAGTTTGGTTTGTTGACCAAAACAGACACAAAGCAACACAAATAATTTTTACTACTGATTATTAGTTTAAAAAAAAAGAAAGATCAGTCGTTGGTGGTGACTTAAAGCACCCCAGTGTGGTCCATTAGATGACCCTTAGTAAGTATGCCAGATGAAGAACAAAACAAAAGGGAAAAGTCATGATTTTTGTTTTAAACCTAAAGATGCAGTACTTAAACAGGATGTTATCACAGATTTTTCTTGAATGTTTTATGCAAAATTAGCACTAGCAGATCAGTTAATGAAAGTTTAGAGCAAAAACTCAAATACAGTATTACATCGACTGCATGTAATTGTACAATTATATGAAAACCTGGAGAATTCAAAGCACCCCAACATCCACCCAGATTGTCAACATACAGGCATTGCCTACCCAGAAGAAGGGTAGTCATGCCTTCAGCTGAATGTGGTTTGGATGTCATCAGATGGTATATAGTGCAAACAGCGTTTTAAACCCCGTCCTTCATACTAGTTTGCTCTAAGTGTGTTTGGGATGTGGGAAGCAAAAGACAGAAGTTTTGGAGTTTGCTGCAAACCTACTTGTAAATGATTTTACCTGACTGTATAAAATATCATATGTGAGAATACTGAACCTTATGATCAGATTATATATGTGTTTGTTTGTTTGTTTGTTTGTTTTTTTGCTCATTCATTTGTTTATTTATTAAAGGATCATTCCCATGACCCCGATTATGAAAAAATATTATAATGTTAAAACAAAACCAACCTGACATGATGATGATGACGATGATGATGATGGAGCTAATGATGATAGTGCAACAAGCATATATCAAAAGAATACATTGAAATGGCTGAATGGATGAAGACAAATGTTATCATTGTTAACTGTTGATGCAGATGTATTGGAAAATGTTCCTGTAGTTTCTCTACTATTTATGGTATATTAAAAGTCTATACAACAGCCGGAATGTGGATTCATACCAAGGCCTTTTTTGATGCTCTTTCAAATGAAACAGATTTTTTTAAAGGTGTTTTTAAAGGAATTTTTGACTGAATTCAGACTTAAGCTACATTTACATTAAACCAAATGTTTGTAAACAAGCAACCTATAGGCTACAACCAAGGGTTGAATAGGCTGCATGTCGTTGCTGTTAAAGGAAAGATAGAAACAATGTTCCATCACAAAGATATTAATGCGAAATTTATCAAAACTTTACGAGCTGTGACGTAGTAGCTGAATAACCCCTTGATTACATGGTGAAGGGTGCGTAGGCTATGCTCTAATGCCAGCTGGCAAGCTGACAATGACAAAACAAATATATAAATAAACATTAGGATATGACCAAAGTAAAATAATTTGGTGATATTGTTCACAAGAGAAAAAACGGGATATGGATTTATTAATTAAAAGGTTCTTTTACTGAGGTTTTTCAGGTCCCCTGCTTCTTTTGCACTACCATTGCCACCTGTTTACTTTATCTGCATCTCTGGGAGTGGAGAAAGAAGCCGTGGGAGAATCAGACTTTGCCAGCATGGCGGTTACACTGTATTCACTTCACCACACTGCAGTTCTTTGCACTAATGCAATCGTTGTGTTGCACGAGGAAAGGTTTCTCTGCAAGAGTACATTTTATGCCATGTGTTATTATAGCCTACGACTAACACTAGATTGTTTTAACAAAAACTGCAAATACCAAGCTGAAAGCTGTGAGGTTGTACATATACAACCTGCCTGTGACTTGTAACATAAACGTAACTCAAATGTTTATATCTTTAGGGGAACAAAATACGTTATGTGTGTGTGTGTGTTGGGGGGGGGGGTGCTTTATGAAAATATTGTTTTACAAGCCTAGAGGCTAATGTTACTTAAGAGGAAATTAATGGGGAAAACTGCATGTCTCGTATGCTCTGTTCAGTCGGATGGGGCGCTGACCAGAGAGTTAGAGGTTTTGGGGACGATCCAAGAATTACAGCCCAGGTCCTCAATCTAATCCGCTCAGTCCGAACTGTCATGAGAGGTCAGAAATCTGTTTTCTTATGTCAACAGAAATTAAAGATTCCAAACATAAGGGACATGTTTATTTATTATGTCATATTTTGTAAGAATGAGTAGGCTTGTCCTTTGAAAATGTCAGACAGTGATGAAACATGAATGAACACCGTCATTTTTGTAGTATTAGTAGTATTTTTCTGCTTTTTAAAGGGTAAACAAACTTTTCAATGGAGTCCCTTTTTAGATTTAATTTACTATATCGCCCTTTCTGAACATGAAATACATACTTTTTTATTATTAATAAAATTCATCATATATTCACAATTGGTAATGATATCAATAAGTAACCAGAAGTCTCTAATTCCATGTCTAATAATTAATTAATCTAAAATTGTGCAATTTATTCACTGATTTATTTTCTCTCTTTTTGATTTCCACAGTGCCTTTAATGATAGTGAATTCTGGGTGGGGGTGGCAGGTGTGGGATATATGGGGCGAAGTCTTTTCTTCGCCCCCCTCAATTCCATTTGTCTTTGTTTATTTGTATACTCTCTGTGTTGTGGTAATCCAGGGGAGAGAGACATATTTCATTCCATTTCAGTCATTGCTTCCAATTGATGTAGAAAATGCTCCGTTATGTGTTAGTCTGTATAAGAATTTGGTTAAACAAGTAAACCCCAAGAGTGTCCAATTTTGGAATATAACTTAAAATGGTGTGTCTTTGTATTATTATGTTTTACTTTAGAGGTTCTATTAAATGAAAATTTGATTACTTTAACTAAGGAATGAGACTGCGGCATGTATCTCTTTTCTATATTATGTATTCCACTCCATTCTTCCACTGCTCTATTTCCATAATAATCCCCATATGCTGTGAATTATCCTTTCCTCTCCAGCAAACCTCCAAAAACATTTTTCTGTAGCTTCAGTTATAAATACGTGGAAAAGGGGATCGGCTGGAATTAGAAGCATATGTTTTTCAAAGAGATTTGCACAGTAAAGCCATGTTGATCTGTGATTAGTCAGAGTTTAGCTGTGGGTCTGGATTAAAATCTGTAAGGGGTCATAGGCAACTACATGGATCTGCATTACACAGGTCAGGATTTGGGGTGTTTTGGTTGTCAACAGAAAAAAACAGGGTTTGACAAGTTGGTTTCTTTAAAGGTGCACTATGTAGATTTGATGGTGAAATTTGAAAGTTGGAGAAGTGATACATTTCTATGCAATATTTTCTGAACTAAATACACAAACTTTATTCAAAGGAAAATATGGGTCCCTGGAACATTGTTTGGCGCTAAAAAGCTACCAGTAGAATTATGATTCTACTGTTGCGGGCCTACCACCATAACTTCTCGCGTGCATTTTAT